GGTCTTACTAAGGCTTTCTAAAGCAGTGCTAGTCTATACAAATGTTGCATATATAGTATGTTTAAATGTGTGTTATGTATGTGGACACTTTGAGAGCGGGCAACTAAATTTCATTTTTAATGTGTGCCATTGTGCCCACAGTAAAAAATGACAGTAAAGGTTATCTACCTACCTTCCTACCTACCTACCTACCTACCTACCTACCTATCCATCCATCCATCCATCCATCCATCCATCCATCTACCTACTTACATATCTACCTACCTACCTACCTACCTGTCTTTCTGTCTGTCTGTCTGTCTATCTATCTATCTATCTATCTATCTATCTATCTATCTATCTATCTATCTATCTATCTATCTATCTATCTATCCACCTACCTACCTACCTACCTACCTACCTGTCTGTCTGTCTGTCTGTCTGTCTCTGTCTGCCTGCCTGCCTGCCTACCCGCCTACCTACCTACCTACCTACCTACCTGTCTGTCTGTCTGTCTGTCTGTCTGTCTGTGTCTACCTACCTACCCACCTACCTATATCTATCTATCTATCTATCTATCTATCTATCTATCTATCTATCTATCTATCTATCTATCTATCTATCTATCTATCTATCATTATCTATCTATCTATCTATCTATCTATCTATCATTATCTATCTATCTATCTATCTATCTATCTATCTATCTATCTATCTATCTATCTATCTATCTATCTATCTATCTATCTATCTATCTAGTACTTCGTGTGATCTTGGTTCTATCCCTCTATTCACGCCATTTAGGATTGATATTGTTGAATTACCCTTCCCATCCTCCCTCAGAGTTAACTGCTATCCAGTGCTGCTGGGAATTGTAGTTCAACCAGATTTGGGAAGGGCTCAGATTCTCCACATTTGCTTGAGTCCCATCTGGCTTTTTGTGTGGCATTCATCTCCTCTTCCTCCTTGTCCTGTGAGTCCGTGAGGTGGTGGTGGTCTTCTCCTTCTAAGTCCTCTCTGGCTGTTAACAGGTCAGCGTATCGCTGTTGCTTTCTCCTGACTACGACGCTGCCCCTGTGGAAAAGGAACAGGCTTCCTATTGTTTGCCTGTGGACGGAAGGAAAACGGTCTCCTGGAAGGTTACTCCCAAAACTCTGGGTAAGTAGCCAAGGCCAGATATGGCTTCCTTGGCTGGTTGCCTCGCCATCCATAGTTCCCAATGGGACAGACCGAGACAGGAAGGTCATTTTATTAACCATGTATTCAGAACGTTCTGATAAAGGGGATTCCTCAAAGCAGTTTATTAGGGTACCCTGATAAAGTGGGATCTGTCTATGAAAAGGAGAGAAGAGAGAGAGAGACAGAGAGACAGAGAGAGAGAGAGATACAGAGAGAGAGAGAGAGAGAGAGACAGAGAGA